TACGATTACTACGACTACTACTACTACGACTACTACTACACCACTACGACTACTACTACTAAGAACTACTACACCCACTCCTACAACAACTACTACTACTATTTACTACTACTACTACTACTACTACTACTACTAGTACTACTATCAACAACAACAACAATAATACGACTACGATTCCCCCGCCTCTTCCTACTACTACTACTACTGCTACTAGTACTATTACTACTACTACTCCTACTACTACTACTACTACTACTACTACGACTACTCCTCTTACTACTACTGCTACTACAACTACTCTTGTGACTCTCACCACTACTACTACTACTACTACTACTACTACTACTACTACTACTACTACTACTACTACTACTACTCCTACTAGTCTTACTACTACTTCTCCCACTACGACGCCTACTACTACAGTACTACCACAACTACTATTATCACTACTACTACTACTACTACTACTACTATTACTACTACTACTACTACTACTACTACTACTACTACTACGGCTACTACTACTACTACTACTATTATTATTACTACTATCGCTACTACTACTACTACTACTACCACTACTACTACTACTACTACTACTACTACGACTACCATCACTGATATTACTTCTACTCCTACTGGTACTACTTCTACTACTACGACCACTGCTACTACTATTTCTACTAGTTCTACTACTACTACTACTGCTACTACTACTACTACTATTGTTATTACTACTACTACTACTACTACTACTACTACTACTACTACTACTACTACTAATGCGACGACGACTACTACTACTACTACTACTACTATTACTACTTCTACTACTACTACTACTACTACTACTACTACTACCACACGTTTTACTACACGTATTACTTCGACTACTACTAGTAGTACTCTGGCTGTTGCTGCCACTACTACTACGACGACGATGACGACTATTACTATTACTAATACTATTACTATTACTATTACTATTACTATTACTATTACTATTACTATTACTATTACTATTACGATTACTATTACTATTACTATTACTATTACTATTACTATTACTATTGCTACTACTACTACTACTACTACTACTACTACTACTACTACTACTTCTACTACGACTACGACTACGACTACGACTACGACTACTACCATGACTACTACTATTACTACTACTACTACGTTACTACTACTACCACTATTACTACTACTACTACTACTACTACTACTACTACTACTACTACTACTACTACTACTACTACTACTACTACTACGACTACGACTACGACTCCGACTACGACTACGACTACGACTACGACTACGACTACGACTACTACTACTACTACTACTACTACTACTACTACTACTACTACGACTACTACTACTACATCAACAACAACGACAATCATTTTAAGACTGTTCGTCCTTACTGGCACGCGTGTCTTGCATTATGTATACCCCAACCCTCAATGCCCGCCCAGTCCGTCTTCGGTTGCACCCCTTCTCGGGGGGGGAATATCTTCGATGTCGGTCACTGACTGAGGTGCGAGGAAGTCTCTGACCAGGGGCTTTCGGAACACCCATGGCAAATATCGAACGGGAGCCCTTGCCGCCGTGTCTGGGCCTCCACCGACTTGATTGAATTACGAGAAAGTCTCGAGCGAGTGTGGCGTTCCTGAGTTCGGGGGCCTTCCTGGCCAGGGGCTCTCGGAGTAAACCTTGAGGAAGTATCGGACAGGAGCTCTTGTCGTCGTGGCTGGGCCTCCGCCAACTTGAACGAATTGCGAGGAAATCTCGATCGAGAGCGCCGTTCGTGAGTTTGGGGGCCTCTCTGGCCAGAGTGTCTCGGGGTAAGTTGTGAGGAGGTATCGAGCGGGAGCCGTTGTCGTCGCAGCTGGGCCTCCAAGGTCCCACATTAGACTTAAGCCAACGCTCGCGCGGGAGCTTAGTTGCCAGAGAAAGTGCAGCCGGCGTCGAGGCGAGAGCGCGTTGAACCGTTTCGGTATACCAACCACAATTATCATTTAGAAATGAGTATTCAACACCAACAACAAGCACAGCAGCAACAATCATTTTAAGCTTGTTCGCCCTTGTCTGCTCGAGTGTCCAATAACGCGTATTTCCCGAAGCCTCGATACCCTTTTCGTCTTCGATCGAACCCTTTTTGGGGGTATACCTTTCTTCCCTGCAGGCCGGGCCCCGGCAAGCGGCGGGGCGACCGCGGACCGTCGGCCTGGCCAGCGGCAGCGCTGATCGGCGGGGTGGCCGCGGACCGTCGACCCGACCCCAGGAGGGACGGACAGGGGACCGACCACGACGACGACGACGACGATGACGACGACGACGACGACAACGACGATGACGACGACGACGACGACGACGGCGACGACGACGACGAGCGAAAGCGAGAGCGAGAGAGAACGACAGCAGGGCCACAAGGACACGAAGTAGGCCACGAAGGGCGACAGCGGGGACACGAAGGGAATGCGTATGGGGCCTTGAAGAGCGCGAACGAGCGGGGGCCACGAAGGGCAGTTCACACGGGGCCACAGAAGGCAACGATGGGGCTAATGAGGGTAGCAACTGGGCCACGTAGGACAGTGAGGGGGCCACAAACGGCGACAGCGGGGCCACGAAGGGCATGCACATGGGGCCACAGCGGGCGCGAACGAGCGGGGGCCACGAAAGGCATACGTATACTGGGCCGCGGAAGGCAAGGACGGGGCCACTGAGGGCAGCAACGGGGTCACGAAGGGCAGCGAGGGGGCCACGAAGGGCGACAGCGGGGCCACGAAGGGCATGCATGTGGGGCCACCACGGGCGCGAACGAGCGGGGGCCACAAAGGGCATACATATATGGGGCCACGAAGGGCAGCGAAGGGGCCACGAAGGGATACAACGGGGCCACGAGGGGCAGCGATGGGGCCACGAAGGGCTGCAACGGGGCCACGAAACAAAGCGAGGGGGCCAAGAAGGGCAGCGAGGGGGCCACGAAGGGCTGCAACGGGGCGCCCCGAAGGGCAGCGATGCCTCCACGAAGGGTTGCAACGGGGCCACGAAACATAGCGAGGGCGCCACGAAGGGCTGCAACGGGGCCACGAAGGGCAGCGAGATTCCGATTTCGAGCTAATATGTGAGGGAGTCCTAAGCGTGAGCGCGACTCCTGGGTGCCTGGGTGTCGGGAGCGCGGCGCTTGAGTAAATTGCAGGGAATTCCAACGCAACGGCGCTATTCTTCAGTACATTACAAGCAAGTCTCCAGCGAGAGCGCGACTCTAGAGCGCCGGGAGAGCGATTCTTGCATACAATGCGAGGAAGTCTCCAGCGGGAGCGGGGGTCCTGACTAAACTACGAGGAAGTTTCAGGCGGGAGCCGTTGTTTATAGTAACCTGGGGGCCAGGGGCCCAGTTTGAGCTTCAAGATTTCCTCTGATAGAAAACAGTGTGCGAGCGTCGAGGGGCACGGGGGTCAACAATACTTATTCTTCAGAAATGAGAGCTCATCAACAACGACACGACCGTTATCACGAGCACCACGAGGCGGCCTTGTAGGAGGGGCGGCCGACGAGCTTGGGGCGACCAGTGCGACCGACGGATACGCGAAAACAAACCAAAACAACCAACACCAGCCAGGGAACGGGGCCAGCCGAAGGGCCGAGCGACCAACGGGCGGCCGACGAGCCTGGGGCGACCAGTGCGACCGACGGACAAGCGAAAACAAACCCAAACAACCAACACCAACCAGGGAAAGCGGCCAGCCGAAGGGGCCGAGCGACCGAGGGGCAGGCCGAGGGGCCAGGCGCGGCCAGTTCAACCGACGGACAAGCGAAAACAAAACGAAACAGTCAACACCAGCCCGGAAAGAGGCCAGCCGATGGGGCCGAACGACCGAAGGCCGGCCGACGAGCGCGGGGCGACCAATGCAACCGACGGACAAGGGAAAACAAACCGAAGCAGCCAAAGCCAACCAGGTACGGGGGAGCCGAGGGGTCGAGCAGCCCAGGGCAGGCCGAGGGGCCAGGCGCGGCCAGTGCAACCGACGGACAAGCGAGAGCCAACAACAGCAAGCAACACCAGCCAGGGGAGGGGGCCAGCCGAGGGGCCGGGAGACCGAG